CGTTGCCCATGCTTGATTCAAAAATCGTACGTCTCATACAGCAATCGCTATCACTTGACTTAAAATATTTTTGCCCTTCTTTGCCTTTAAAGGAGTGCCCTTTGCCATGCTGATGTTGCTACATGTCTTACTTCTTGTCTATCTCACACTACGAATTTTTTCTAAGCTCTATGCTAAACATTAAATCTGTTACGAAAAAAGAACTAAACAAAATGAACACAAAACGATCAGCTTTAAAAAAAGTACTCGTAACTGGAAAAACCGAATGAAAAAAAAATGTTAACAACAAAAACTTTTTCACATCCAACCCAGTTTTGCGGAATCAGAATCAACGTTGAATTTAAACAAGCGAATGGAGCCACTTGTGACGAATGCAGCTATCGATTTTTTTTTTTTTTGCATTCTAGCATGCTTATTAACATTCCTATCAGTCAACTGTTGGCTCTCACGCTAGCCAATAGAATCTTCCTGCCTCTTTGTGGCAGCCAGCTATAGGCTCTCACTCTGGCCAGTAGAAAATGGCCGCAAACTACATGAAAACTGCCGTAGAAGCATGAAAAAAAATGATTATTTCCACTAACGATGGGAGTTGGGAAATGCAAAGCCAGTCTTGGCCTTCCCACTAACTTGGAGCATGTGCATGTACATTTTGAAAATTGCGACCGTGTATTCGTTACACACACGCACACACACATCATGCCTTTTATAGATAGAGATAAAATAAGCTTTCTTTTTTATCTAATGGTTATGGAGTAAAAGTGGTCAATGGGTAAAAATAGGTTGAGAAGAACTGCTCTAGAAGAAAATCCTTCGGCGTAATCATTCATGATCGCGCAAATATTTATTACGTATGTCATTTAATTGAAACAGTCAACAGTGATTTAGGTAATGAAATTGTGGAGACACATAATCTCCCAAGCGTATGGTACTTGGCTTAATATAAAAAGAACCATGATCGCCTACACTCTGAAGGAAAATTGTTTTTATAAAAGAAAATACTTCCCACTAAATATTGGTTGTTCTTTTCGTCACAAGTAATCTTTGCTTTCATCTCTCCACGACGGCTGCCTTTTCATTTGCTTCTAAAAGTAATACGTCCTTTACTTTCCGCAGTTTCATTCCTTATCAGCAACAATAAACGCCTGGTTGATTAACCCACATGCTAATCAAACGATCAAACGGCTTCAGACGTATTTGGAATGTTGTCTTAAGACAAAGACGAACATTGGAGCTGGAGAGTATCTTTTTACAAACACCACACACGCCGAAGGAAAAAAACGATAACGAAAGTGAAAGTAGATCAGTTCGTGATAAAGTAGGCACAGAACAAAGAGATTCTCTTCAGATTTAATTTAGTGCTTCTTGTCCACATAATACGACGCTTAACTCCATCGATTCCTGCAGAATATATCTATTAAGTAGAGTCAGCTTACCTACAAGGAAACAATTACAATATTAGTGCTGTAAAAATAATGTTGAAAGAATATTGCTTAATTGGGGGAATCCATAACAAAAACCCCGCTGGGCAAATTCACATTGAACAAAATCCTGGCTGAAAAAATCCTAGGCTTCCTATCCCAAAAAGTTAACAAAATCCCAGTCTCGTATGAGATTAATGTGGTAGTGGTTGGTTTGTACTGCCACTAATTAGCATAAACCTAGGAGTAGACGTTATATATTAGCTTGCTACGTGACAATAGTCTCTCAGTTGCGTCTCTGTCTTCGAGCAGAGGGAAACTCTGTCTGCGGACACTGTGTATCTGGAAAAAAATATGGAGCGGTGCCCGGTTCCGGGGACCAGTTGCCCTCGTCAGTATTGGCTCATTGCACTAAAGAGAAGGATCTATAGTAAAATATCGATGTCAGCGCAACTAACGGCTGCAGGATCTGGGTAAATTTGGGCCCTGGCTCTGTTATACAGTGCTGTTCGATAAAAGAGACTCACCTGATTTTTTTACTAAATGTTCTCTTCTTCGATGAAACGAAAGTTGAGCTAAATTCAAAGGATAAGCGATCTAAAATCCGAAGAAGAAGCTTTGAAAGCTCTGAATAGCAGTAAGTACTGTCAAGCATCCGTTCAATATAATGTTCTGGGGATGCTTTTCTTTTCATGGAACTGGTTTCTTAAAACTTATTGAAAAGACCCTCAGGAGCGAGCAGTACAAGAGAATTTTAGAGTCTTGTCTGCTCCCTTCAAAGAGCTTTCAAAGCTTCTTCTTCGGATTTTAGATCGCTTAATCCTTTGAATTTAGCTCAACTTTCATCGGAGAAGAGAACATTTAGTAAAAAAAAGTTAGGTGAGTGACTTTTATCGAACAGCACTGTATGTGCTTCGGCGCCCGATAAAACCGACCTTGTTTTACATCTTGTCACCGTGGAGAGACGTTAAGTATCGAACGCGTCTGGAAAACAGTATTAAGAAGTGCCCGCTCCCGAGGAACAACTGTCCGCATCTGTATCCCCTAATCGCACTAAAGAAGGGATTTGTAGTAATAGCGATGATTTACGAGCGCTGGGTAATTTTGAACTCTGGCACGGGTGCACGCGCTTGGGTGACCCACATATGCCGCCTTTTTCACCTTAGGGAGACGAGTAAATACCATACACCCATTTTGTTTTGGTCTTTTATCATCTCTCACTTACGTGTCTTCGGGTAGAACGCAACACAGTTGTGCCTCTCCCTGTGGACAAATAGCATCTGTGAAAAATATTCAGAGGTAGAGGTACGGATATCCGTGGCAGTACTCCCTCATTGCACTAGCGATGAGAGCCGGTAGCAATACTGATGCCAGCCTAACCGATGGTTGACTGGACTAGGTAATGTTTGTCCCTGACCACTGTGTACGCGCTCAGGCGCCCCAAATTAAGTCTGACCTTGTGTAAGATCGCATCATTGTGGAGAAACTAGTAAATCGTCTTGAACAGCAATATTGATACTGAATGCGCAAATCTGCCATCCAACTTGGAATATCATAACAATTTGGCTTCGACGATAGGACCTTTGTTGCATGTAAAGACCCAGACTTTATTGAAATGTGGATAAGGTGCTTCTCAACACTTGCCGGAACAAAAAAAAAAAACTACGCGACAAACAAATAATCGGTGAATACGAAATCATATTTATTTACGACAACAGCCGGTTGCAAAGCCATGAGGAAGATTTCCTTGACGACTTACGCATCAGGAAATTACTGATGAAGAATCAAGAGAAGACAGGAAGAGTTTGGACAATTCAAGCATCGACGGTGAAGAACAGGATGTCACCAACAAACGTGACAGATCTAGATCACCCATAGACAGAAATATACACAGATCTTTAGAAAGAAGAGGGGGGGGGAGAAAGTGAAAATAGACGAATAAACTTGAGATCCACGATGGGGTATAAAGTCCATTCGCTTCAAGGAGATGTAGTAATGGTTAATTAGTTCTAACGCTAATTAGTCATACTTCCAGGAGTAGACGTCTTGTATAGGCTTGCTATATGATGATGATGATGGTGGTGGTGGTGGTGGTGGTGGATGTCGACTGTCCACTCGTATTCGGGGATATCCGTCTACTAGGGCGGCAAACTAATCATTATTGTAGACGCTTGCCCAGACGCATTCTGTGTTTGTCCAACACCTAGAAAACCAACCTGTGGTTTATACAGCAATTATGTCAAGAAAACCTTAGTTACAGTTTCTGTGAGAGAAGCGTGGGAATATTATCTGTTATCTCACATCATAATCGAATTTTTTTAATACAACAAAGATATTGTTTTTATCCACTTTTTTTTATAGTTATATGAGTATGTTTCCGTAGGTCCTTGGCAACGATTTTTAATTGTTTTGTTAGGAGATTGGAAGCATTTTCCTCCCTTGTCGTGACTGTCTTTTATTGCTTCGGCTTTAAGCAGATCACGAATTTCAGGGTGGATGTTAATTAGTCGTTGTTCTTTAAGCTTTTGTATATTTTATATAACATTTCAATTTCAGTTATTTTTCATTCAATATATTGTATTGTTTATAAAGATGACAGTTATTTAATTTAGTTGTATCAAATTGACTGTCCAGAGTCAAAGTTTTTGTCATTTAAATTTTTCTGTAGAAAGTGGAACAAATAAAAATCCAGAGAAAACAAATAAGGAGAATATGGTTTTTTCCGTTTCAAAACTACTGCAAGGTCTGTTTTGCAACATGTGCTGTGATGGTGGAAAATGAAACCAAAATCGTCTGTTTTTCTTTAACCTAAATTTCGTCAAATGGAATGAGTCAGTTGAGATATCGATCTTCAAACTCTTAGCAATATCCTCATTGAAAATCTTAGCTTTATTCTCCAAGATAGCAAGCTGAGCATATCTTCATCGACGTCAGAGCATTTTTGATCAATTAGGTTAGAATTACCCTGACGAAATCTGTCAAGCCAATTTTTTGATTGGTCGAAAAGCTGAAGCTCGATCCAAATAAGCTTCTGAGTTTTTTTTTTTTTTTTTTTTTGTCACGGTTTCGACACTTACCCCTTATCGAAATCTATAGAGCAAGATATGACGAAAATGCAATTTTTCCCACCTCCATCTTTAGGGCATTTATTTTCTGGCAAAACGTCAAAATGCAACATAGTCACTCAGCAGAAATCGACACCAATGCAATGATCTGATATATATATATATATATATATATATATATATATACTGAACAATAAAAAATATTAAAAAATTAAAATCTTCAGACACACTGTGTTGTAGCTTAATATTCTTTCGTTTTTATTATTATTATTTCATTTAGATTCCTCAACTAGTTTCGGCCAACATGGCCATCATCAGAAGAAGACATATTTCTGCTTGCTGGTAGCAGTGAACTACAGTGAGTTATTTAGCTATAGGGGAAGGACAGAACGAAAGTCGAATGTTGTTGGCCAATGACCTGTAAATGACGACTCATACGATCGAGCAACAATTAATCAATCATAAAAGAACCAATCAGAGTTAAATAATTATGAACATTCAAAGAATTTATTCAAGGTTATTCAATGTCAATTATTTCAGATAGATAGATAGATAGATAGATAGATAGATAGATAGATAGATAGATAGATAGATAGATATGAACAGGTTGAGATAGATAGATAGATAGATAGATAGATAGATAGATAGATAGATAGATAGATAGATAGATGTGCACTCAGATAGATAGATAGGCACTCATATGGGCACTCAGATAGATAGATAGATAGATAGATAGATAGATAGATAGATAGATAGATAGATCAGTGCAATTAAATTTGCCGCTTTTTTATATACGGTTGTGGACAGAATTATTCATTTCCATAATTACAATTAAAGCTGTAATATATATTACATATATTCATGGCAACTTCATGTGAATTTTTCCACAAATGTTAAAATAATGCATTTGAAAGAATGTTCAGTGATAAACACATTAGAATTTTTATTTTAATGTCACACAATAATGCCAAAAGCATTTAACATAGACTCTCTTACCTCAGTCATCAATTGTGTATTCTTTATTCTTGATTATTGCCTTTAATCATTTTGATAGTTCCTTACAAGATCACTACAGACACTGATAGGTAATTTGCTTCATTCTTCTTTGGCAATAACTTCTAGTTCCTCAAAATTTGGATGACTTATTTCTCTAAGCCTTTTCTTTAAATATGCCCATAAATTTTCAATGGGGGTTTAGGTCAGAAGTTTGTGCGGAGTAAGGCAATACCTTAATTTTGCTGTCATCTGAGTATTTTGTAACAATTTTTGCCGTATGTTTTGGGTAATTGCCATATTGAAACATCCAGTGACGTCCCAAAGACAGATTTCATACACTTTGTTTTATAGAGCTCCACTATATACCCCTATGTTCTCGATGGCTTCTGTCATAAGTTAATTTCCATTTTATGTTTAGTAGGGCAGTTTTCCTTGGGCGACAAGCTTGAAGTCCTACTCGGTGAAAGCCTCTAGTGATTGTCTCCGTCGATACATTCAATCCTGACGCCTTTGCATCATTGACAATGTCCTTTGAAATTAAATTAGTATTCTTCTCTAACAATTTTCCTTTCCATTCTCTCAGAAAGTTTTCGTTTTCCATTCTCTCAAAATGTTTTCTGTCAAGTTCATGTTATAGAATCAGGTCAGTACTATTTCATTTTAAAATGGAGTTTTGTATTAAATGTCAAATTAAGAAAAGAAACATTACAATTGCTATAGAGCTTATAACTTTTATAAGGAGGCGGCAATAATTTTGGACTGTACCAATATTTAAAAAAAATTTTATCTTTGAATATAACATATCGAAACTTATAAAAAATTCACGAATTTTATGGTAAACTCAGTAAGTACTTGCAAATATTCGCATTTCCTTTAAAAATATGCAAATATTCAGTATTCGAATATGTATATATATATATATATATATATATATATATATATATATATATATATATATATATAGTATCAATAGATGTGTTTATTGTTTTAAGGATATTTTTAGAAATTAGGCCTAACTGATTTGGAAGGATTTATCAGTCTGGAATGTAGATTATTTTGAAAGTTTGGTTTATGATCTTTAAATAGTAAGTAGGCGTCTTTTAAATGTGTTATACCCATTCTTTCCGCAATATTATATTTATAGGCGAATTTAACAGTTTCTCTATGTATGGAGGATAAGTGTCTAGATGTTTTATCTTTTTTGCAAGAGATTGTATTCATAATTAGATAGTGGTATTCAGATGGATCAATTTTGTAGATATTTTTGGATTTATCAGCTCTGATCCATAGTTTGTTTTTTTTTTTTGTTGAGTTTTTGATATTTGTAATGTCCTTTTTGAGTTTGGATTGGAATGGGTTGGATTACTTTCTAAAGGATATCTTTTTGATTAAATTAATTAAGTCGTGTTCAAAAAGTTCTAATAAATTATTACTAGGTGTAGTGTTTTGGGATTTCAAGTAAAATGTGTCATTAATGTTTTTAGGTTTGGTTTTTATTATTGTTGTTTATTAATATAGTATTCAACTTATATTAAATCCCTAATTTATTTGTAGAGAAGTTGAATATTTAAATTGCTAACAAGCATTAAATTAATTTCTTTGTGGAGTTTTTAAACATTTAAATTACTATCAAACGTTTAAATCTATTTTTATCTAAATTGCTAAAGCTATACCACCCCTCTTCTTCCTCCAAAAACCCTAAGTCACATCTATTTTCTCTTTACTCCCCCTTTTTCTTTTTCCCTTTTTCTCCTTTTTCTTTTTTTCATATCATTTACATTGAGCTGACTGATTAAATAGGTCAATGTCTGATCCTTAACTCCTCCTTCCTCCATATTGGGTATTATAATAAAAAGAAATATAAAAATAAATTTTAAAATTCTCCCCTCCCTCTCTAAACTCAACCATGTCTCTCACACCATCCCTCGCTACTTTCTATGTCAACTGATATAATCTTAGTACTGCCCGTCTAAAGTGTAAATTTTAATTTCATTTTTCATTTCACCTTTTGAAAGTGATGTCTGAAGATCCAGAGAAAAATAAGTCTCTGGTGAAATAAATTATTACAAATGGAGCCTTAAAGTGGTCTGTTTTTCTTTAAATTATATATATATATATATATATATATATATATATATATATATATATATATATATATATATATATTTCAAGTATAGGTGCAATTATAATTTATAAATTCATGAATCATTCATGCAATAAAACAAATATAGAGGTTAATGATTTTAATGGCTAGAATACATCTTCGCAAACAATATCAATAAGATACACCAACCCCGAACCTGTATATGCATGATATGATCCCTGTTTATAAATTCCAGTTGCATATGGTCTTTTTAATTTTTTACAAGCTTTCGTCTGTTCCTACAGACATCCTCAGGTATGGAAATAGATTTGTTCTTGTTTTTTACTTTTCGGTAATAAGAGGATTAAAAATTAAAAAGACCTTATTGTATGAATGATTCATGAATATATATATATATATATATATATATATATATATATATATATATATATATATAATCAACGATGATGCCCTTAAATTTACTGGTATATTTGTAACGATACAAATAAGCACTTTAGATTCATCATTTACTATAAAAAATAACCTAATTATTACCAATAAGTAGGGGATTAAAAAGTGCCCCTCTATTTAAAAACAATGTTGTTTACAAATTCGCATGTCTAATATCAATAAGCAAAAAAAAGCATTACTTTCATAAAGCGTCCACACATACAAAATAATTTCTCGTGAGCTGACGGGCCACTTATTGAATCTTAGTGAAACTTGGCGCACATTCTAATAATCACTTTAAAAGCATCCAGAGTGTAACTGCTAACATATGGTAAATATTGGTAGGTAATACCCAAGATACTCGAGAGATCTAAGAGCTAGGGAAAACTTCGAGATACGAGAGGCAACTATTTTAGAAAAGAAACAACATACATTACAAAAAATGCCTTTTATCGCAGGAAATGGAATTCTAAATTTATATTAAATATTTAAGCGAGCAAAATAATAATAATAAAAATAGTAATAATAATAATAACTCTAAATATATATTGAATACTTTTTCCGACGTGACCTGACATCAAGTAAACGTTTTACACATGACATCACTTCTCTGATATGAGAATATTTGGGTTCATTTGAATTGTAACGCTACACAAAATTCCAGGAAGTAGACAACAAAATCATTTCTAGTATACTAACAAGAACCAATTAAATTTATTTAACAAATATTGTTTGGAAGACATCTTGTTATTTGAAACATTGAAAGCTTGAAGTTCGAACATCATTGGTTATTTAATTTACTATTGATTACCATAACATTTACTTGTTATTAACCAGAATTAATAAGAACTATTTTAATAATAAATTTGTGGACTGCTGATTAATTGCTTTGTCTTAATTGTTATTGTATGTAACTGTATATTGGCTTTATTGCCACCCTGAATATATATATATATATATATATATATATATATATATATATATATATATATATATATATATATATATATATATATGTCCTCCACAGACAGACTGTTTCGCTGTATCACTGCTCATGAGCGTGACTAGCCATCCGATTGCCCCAAGCCATGATAGAAATCTGACTGATTTGGCATTAGTCAGAGATTTTTCCCCTAATATATATATATATATATATATATATATATATATATATATATATATATATATATATATATAATATAAGAAACGGAAACAACAAAGACATAAATATGTGTATTACTTAAAAAGTAATACATGATTAGCAATGAAATTGTTACCGAATAAAAGATTAGTTAAATATTATACAAAGTTACAAAAATTTACATAATTATGTAAATTTTTATAACTTTGTATAATATAATGCATTACACCCTAATCTTTATTCGGTAAAATTTCTTTTGCTAATCATGCATTACTTTAATACACATATTTATGTTTTGTTATATATATATATATATATATATATATATATATATATATATATATATATATATATATATATATATACAGTGGGGAGAAATAAATATTCCTACACTTGAAAAATTGTATTTTATAAATGTAAAAGCCTTAAATAAAACAAATCTCGGCACATTTTATGTATAAAGACATATACTATTAAAAAAGAATAATAAACTTAATTAATTCTTATTCGAACAGAAATTAATGCATTTTTTTAAAATTATAACTGGTGAAAAAAGTATTCGTACAAATCAATTATTAGAATAAAATAATCAATTATGAAAAATGTATATTCTAGAATATTCCAGTAATGTTATCAGTAATTATATTTAACGCTATTAGCCATTATCAGAGCATTCTGCAATTTATAGTCTTACGTGAAGGTTCTAATAATGCCTAAAGGTAAAGAATTGACTATTTCATAAAAAACAACACATTTTGTCTCTTTGGAAAGATGGGAACAGTTACAGGGCGATTTCTAACAACCTGAATATTCCTTTTACTACAATTGCAAGGTTTAAACTCGTAACAGTGTCGAAGAAGAAAAGAATTCTCTAAGATCAGCAAGGATATTAGGACACCAGATCCAACAAAATCCACAGGTTACCCGAGAAGAGCTGCAGGAACATCTGCGTGCATTTGGGATTAAAGTAACCAAGCGTACAATAAGTAATGGACTACACAAAAACAGTCTGAAATCACGCATCCCAAGGAAGACTCCACTCCTCTTGAAACGACACAGAGATGCTAGGCTAAAATTCGTTAGAGAGCATAAGGATAAAGAATATTCGTTTT